CTTCCCCATTATCAACACACCCCACCAGAGTGGTACCTTGTTGATGAACCTACGCTGACACCTCATTGTCATCCAAAGTCCATAGTTTACATCAGAGCTCATTCTTGGTGTGTGTCGTTTTTAAAATGTACAGCCTTTGCAACTGGAATTTTGTTCTACTTTGAGAAACAAATATGATTTGAAATCCACAGCTATTTATGGCCTCGTAGACCTGTTCCTCAATTTACCTGTCAACTGACCACAAGATTATGAAGTGGATTTTGAATGTAATTTGATTTTTTAAAATTGTGATTTATATACAGTACATTTGTGTAAGCCAAAGACACTTAGTGTGTAAGCTAATGTTTCTCAAAGTATGTTCTGAAGGCAACTTCCATGAAAATCATGTGGGGGGCTGGTTCAGATGCAGGTTCAGGGCTACACCACACAGATCTACTCAACAGAATCTCTGGGAGTGGGGCCCAAGAACACACACTGGGAACCAGCAGTCTAGGGGACTTGGATACTCCCTAAAGCTTTTGAACCATTGACTAAAGTGTAGCCTTACCTGGTGGAGAGAAGGGAAAGGGGAAGTAGGGAAGTTCGTCTCCAACTCAGGCATGATTTTTCTTTTCAGTTCCTCAAGTGCCCCTGAGATGCAGTTGATAGGCTGTAACCCCCTCATGAGCCAATTAACGTAATAACCGAAAAGCTCTGTCTACTATGGAGTGGTCCTGGCCTGTAGATGTAACGTAGAGGGCTCTTTCTCTTAGTCCTTTCGTACACCCACTCTGTGGAACAGTCAGGTGTTTCCAGGGGCCTGTCGTGTAACCAGCACTCTGTCCCTCTCTACTGGTACAGGTGGGAAGGGACAGAGGTGCTGGAAACTCTACCTAGTGACTTGGCACCTTTGGAACTTGTTCATCCTTGGTAGAGAGAAAGTTTCACCCCGTCACCCATCTGTGGTCTTCTCCTCCCAAGGTTTTGGAGGTGAGCAAGGGGAAGTAGACATAGTCCATCAATCCGAGCACCCTCTTACACCATCCTTGCCCAGAGTCCCGATGAAAAAGACAAAGAGACTATTTTGTCAGCAGCAAGCAATCAATATGGTTTTTGCTTTTAGGCAAGGCAGAATCCGACACGAATGTTTTTGTTTAAATGTCTATGATAAATGATTAGCTTTTAACCTGCTTTTAAAATTCAGCACAAATATTATGGCCATCATACTATTTCAGTACATAGAAATCTACTTTATTCTTTTAACCCATGCATGATATTGCTTTTATGGATGTATTGTAATTTATTTAATCAGTTGATAGACCTATTTGTGCTGACATGGCAAGATCTCCGTGGTACATTTTTAAGTGAAAAAAAGGAAGTCACAGAACAGTACGTGCGTGATAGCATTTATGGGAAAAAGATAACAGCCAAGAAGACGTGTGGGTGTGTGGGTGTGTCCCCATTACACTGGGGAGAGAGCAAGGTGGGGTAAGGAAGGACAGGGCTGGGTGAATGGGGAGGCTGTGACAATTAGGAAAGTGAAAATACAAACTTTATAAAAAGCAATACAGCCCTGGCCAGTGTTGCTCAGTGGTAGAGTGTCAGCCCTTGCACCGAGGGGTCTCTGGTTCGATTCCTGGACAACGGCACATACCTGGGTGGCAGACTCGACCCCTGCCCCCGTCGGGGCATGTGCGGGAGGCAACCAATTGATGCCTCTCACATCTCTCTCTCTCTCCCTCCCTCTCTCCCACTCTCTTAAAAATCAGTGGAAAAAATATCCTCAGGTGACGGTTAACCAAAAAAAGAAAAATAAAGAAAAAGAGAAAAACAATACAAAGCTGTTTCTGTGTTTTCCATTCTAAACGGTCAAATAATAAAAATTCCCTACTGCTCCTTTCTCAGGTGCAGCCACAATGTACACAAGATACAAAATAGTGGAAAAGCAGAATCAAACCAGCTACTTCAGCACTCCCGTTTTCAACTTGGTGTCCTTAGTTCTGGGATTGGTGGGGTGTATCGGAATGGGCATCGTCGCCAATTTTCAGGTACGCCCTGACATCTTTTCGGTTATTAGGGGGGAGATGGAGAATGTGTGTCTGGAGAAACAAGAACACAAGAGCCACGCTCGTGCCAGTATAGCTGTCACATAGTTGATGAGTTTGTCAAAATGGGGGTAATTTTCTGTTTAGAAACAAATGCCATTTGGAAGTCAGACCTGCCTGGTACTGGGGGGCAATGGGGTGCGTGCGTGATGGGGAGGAGAGAGTGTGCTTTGCACGATGCTGTGGGCCTTGCAATGCTCCCTGTCCTCACTGATGAGGTTGACGTGCTGGGAGAGCTCCTTCAGCCACTGTGGTGATTTCACTAAGCATGAAAATATCTGTGTATGAGTGTGTGTGTGTGTGTGTAGTGTGTGTATGTACTGATTCTACGGTTTGAACCTCTGGTGTTCAATTCAAACAACGGCATCTGATCTCTTCCTTTCACAATAAGATATAGGTAGGTGTAAGTGAAATAATTTGCTCAGGGTTCCTTAGCTAATTAGTTGCTGAGCCAAAATGTGGCCCTGGCGGAGCCAGTTAACTTACATGACAACTGAGCCGGCTCGATGTAGTCTTACTGTGTCAAGTGTCTGGAAAAAACCCTGCCCGTTTCATTCTAATTGGTGGATCCCTGTTCCTCCCGAGGTCTCTTTCAAGAAAGCATGGGACCTACTAATCTATGGAGACAATGTTTAATATTTTAAAAATATTCGTTGTGTTTAAAATTAGTTCTAATTATAATAGTAGGGTTGCTGCAAGGATTGCATGAAATAACGCACAGTAACCAGCAGTCTGTCCTTGGCGGCCTTCACGGTCATCGCGGGTGCGTCACTACAGGCTGACACCGGAGCCGTCCTGCTCTCTCCGTCACTGTTGTCACCTGTGACAGCAGAAAGGAAGTTACTCCAGGACGACTTCTTGTTCGGCCCAGGGGTCAGCTGGAGGCTAACGTCCATGTCCACACACCGAAGCAGCAGCCGGGGGTGCTGCACCCTCGTGTTGATCTGGAGGGTAATAAATAAGCTCAGGCCTCCACCCACGCCATCCGCTTTCCGCCCGTTCGCTAACGTCTGCTCCTTCATGAAGGATGACCGTTGTCACAGTCCTCTGTCTGACCTCTCACCTGCCCCACGCAGGCCTCACGGAGCCACCATTTCTGCACCGCACTTGGGGACGCCATCTGTCAGTGGAGGGAGGGGACATTATAATGAAGTGCTCTGGGGAAGGCAGGGCTGTGTCGTGGGGGTTGATGGGAAGGCCCCTTCCTTATGTTACAGGGTATCCTCAGGACAGCCCACGAGTCCAGGATATTCTCTCAGTGAGTTTCCGCTTTGGGATGTTACAAATCCATAATTGTTAGTGACCTTGTTCACGTGGGAAGCTGGGAAGGTGGGAACCAAATGTGTGGCCTCCCTGAAGCAGGGGTGTAGGCCTTCGCAGAAAGCATTCTGTGAACTAAACTTGTTTCTGGCTCCATTTCACTTTCCTACCTCCCCTTTTTTTTAGAAAGAAAAAAATAGTTTAATGTTGAATTGGCCAATACGGAAGCAGGGAGCTTGTGCTCTAAACAATCTGAATCCCCGATGGCCTGTAGGTTATAGATTATATGGGGCAAAATCGTAAGACACTTTGCGTTAGGGGTCCAGGTCATGCTGGAGCTGATTGGTCACTTCAGGTCTTGAGGACAGTTCTGAGGTCTCTTCTGGTGTCCCTCTGTCTGGTTTCATGAGGAAAGTAGCCAGGGGATCTGTTCCACCTTAGGGCTCAGGAACTGAAACATAACTTAGGTCAAGATATTATCTTTAACCTGCCAGAGGTCCTGACTATGTGGGCTTCTGCTGCCCGAGGGGTTGCTGATTATTAGGGGAAAGGCTAGGTCTCTACAGTGTAGAGCAGTGATTTTCAACCTTTTTCATCTCAAAAAATATATTTTTTGCTGATCTGACCAAAAAAAAAAAAAAGTGTAATTTTGGTTCATTCACACCAGATGGCTCTTGTTGTGTTGGCTGTTGTCGTGGTTTTTTTTTAATTTGACAATCGGAGGGCAGAGAGGTCAGTGCCCCTGACTAAATAGTCTGGTATTGCATGCATGTTTTAAAAATTCTTGTGGCTCACCAGTGGAAAATCACTGGTGCAGAGAGAGAGAGAGAGGGGAGGAGAGGAGAGAGCGAGCTCGCTTTCCCACCCTCATTGCCCCCTGCGTGGAAATCAGACACACCACGCGCAACGCAGGTTGCCCATGCCATTCCCCGCACGGTAGACTCTGAGGCATTCCCACGTTTTCTGACTGGATGCATTGATTTTCAGAACGTGCACTGAACATTTTCTGTGACATACTTCTGAAAACAGTCAGCGCTTTAACTCATGTAATTCTAATTGCAACCTTAGAAGATGGGTGGTATGATTTCCCTCCTCAGGGAGGCGGAGGCCCAGGAAAGGGAAATGGTGGGAGGGCGCAGGCAGGCGTGGCCCTGGCACCCAGCAGCTCGCGGGAGCCTGCGGGAAAGGTAACCTCCGGCTGCAGGAGGCCTCTGGGAGGAAGAAGCCCGTCAGGTCAGCATCGTCACCATCACAGAGCTCCAGCCTCGCCGGGCGGTGGGGAAAAAGGGAGGGAGGCCTGGGACGATGCCCTTGGCCTAGGAGAGTGCGGCTAGGAAGGGTTCAGCGCGGGATCTGCACGCTGACACCCCGATCCCTCTGCTCTCCAAGCCCCGCAACGTCGCAAGTGACACACCTGTCGACGCTTAAGCCACAAAGGGCAGGCTTTTGGAAGAAAACCTAGGTGGTGAGAGAACCGAGCTCTTGGTTCTCTTGAAGGCTTCCGTGATGCCATTACAGTTTTACAAGCACCAGAAACAGAATCGGTAACTTTCCCGAGAGCAGGGTGTTTGCCTTGTCCCTGGTCCCATAAACCCGTCTTTGCAGCTTCCTTGCCTGATACCGCGTAACCACTCTCGGACCCGTTACCCTGAGGAGGAGGAGAGAGGCCAGGGCAGGGGCACCGGCGCGGGCTCCTGGGTGGGGAGAGAACGGCGCTGGCGGGAGTGGCGGGGAGCCCGCTCCGTCCTGAGCTGGCAGGCGGGTGGCCGCTCTGTGCCGCTTGGGCCTCGGCTGCGCTTTTCCTCGGGAAGTTGCCTTTTGGGAAAGTCAGGTTTTCCAAGGCTTATCTCTCTCCATATTCTAGTTTCCTCTTTTTTACTCTCTTTTCCATTAACAAGGGCGTTTTGATAAAGATCTAAAAAGGGCATCGGAACAGCCCGGGTGGCTCAGCGGTTGAGCAGGAGCCCAGGGTCAGGGCGCAGGCCCGGTTTCAGGCTCCGCCCCACGGGGCGTGCAGGAGGCGGCCCATCAGCGACTCTCATCATTGGGGTTTCTCTCTCCCTCTCCCTGAAATCAACAAAAATAAATAAATAAATAACAAAAGGGCACCAGGTTTTCATTTTATCTTCTGTCCAAGATCCATGTTTGATCTAAGAGTAATTTCCTTTCAAAAGGCGTCTTGGGTGGGGGGCATGTGCTCCTCGTGACAGCACAGCCCCCGCTGTGCCCAGGGCCTTTGCTGCGCCACCGGCAGGTTGATGCGGGCCCGTGCAGTTTGCGGATTGAGATCCTAAAGGCTGTGTCGACTTGGGCAAATCCCCTGCCGTGCCTGTGGGAGGGGAGAAGTATGTAAAATCTGAATGTTGACTTAGCATGGAAAAAAAGAGAGTGGAAAGAGCCAGGATTCTCAGAAGATTATTCCCAGNTTGATGCGGGCCCGTGCAGTTTGCGGATTGACATCCTAAAGGCTGTGTCGACTTGGGCAAATCCCCTGCCGTGCCTGTGGGAGGGGAGAAGTATGTAAAATCTGAATGTTGACTTAGCATGGAAAAAAAGAGAGTGGAAAGAGCCAGGATTCTCAGAAGATTATTCCCAGAAATGGCTGAGCAGTCAATGCCTTGCGTGTTGTTTATTTTTCCTTCGTCAAAGGTGCCCAACATTCAGGGGGTGAAAAGGGTTTGTTTTTCTTAATTGTGGGTTGTTTTTTTTTTACTTTTTGTTGTTGTTTAATATTGTTTTCCCCTCAGTTTTACTGAGATATCACTGACATATAACAATGTATTCGTCCAAGGTATGTAACATAGTGACTTGGTATATGTATAGATCCTGAAATGATTACTGCAGTAAGTTTAGTTAACATTCACCACTTCTCATAGTTACAATTTTTTTCTTGTGATGAGCACTTTTAAGATTTACTTTCAAGAAAAAAAAAAAGATTTGCTCTCTTAGCAACTTTCAAAACTACACTTTTGTTCAACTTAGTCACTATGCCGTACATTATATATAACTGAAAAATTTTTACCTTTTAACAAAGTTTTTACCTTTTGACTCCCTTTACCCATTTCTTCCACTCCTCAACTCCCCATCTCTGGCAACCACCAGTCTGTTTTCTGTATCTATGAGTTCAGTTTTGTTTGTTTTTTAAGATTTTACATATAAGTGAGATCATACAGTATTTGTCTTTTTTTGACCGATTTCACTTAGCATAATGCCTTCAGATCCATCCATGTTGTCATAAATGGCAAGGTTTTTTTCCTTTTTTATGGCTGAATAATATTCCACTGTGGGGAAGGCTTTTCTCTTGGCAATCTTGTGCAAGCAGCCACATTTTCCAAAGGTGGGGTGGGTACATCTGTGACAACAGATGGCTTGGGATAGCCCAGAGGGACTGAGTGCTTGGACCACGGAGTGGGTAGACACGCGTGGAGTAACACATGTGTGTGACTCTCCCCCTAGGAGCTGGCAGTCCCTGTGGTCCACGATGGCGGTGCCCTCCTGGCTTTTGTCTGTGGTGTGGTGTACACGCTCCTGCAATCCATCATCTCTTACAAGTCGTGTCCGCAGTGGAACAGCCTCTCCACGTGCCGTGTGCGGATGACCATCTCCTTCATTTCCTGCGCAGCCGTCATCCCCAGTATCCTTTCTCATGTGTCACTGTCCTTACAAGCTTGATACCCTCCCCCACCCGCCCCCCTGCCCAGCAAAAAAGCATGAAAAAAGCAAAGATTCACGGCCAAAGTTTCCATATACTTCTGAAGAACCATCGGGAGAAAAGTGTAAGTCGTTGAGACTAGGTCCCGACGTGGTCAGGGTAGATCAAAAGAATGTTCAGGAAAGAGAATGGCTTGAGAGGGGGGTGGAAAAATGTCGGGAAACGTCAGTCTCCGTTTACTTTCCTTCCACCAGGGTCGGTTTCACCGGCCATGGGAAAATATTTATTTTTCCTTGGAGTACTTGGCTAAAGACGCCAAATATTGATATTGTACTTAAAGGAATAGCCTTGAGAAGTCCCAAGAGGTCAGAC